GTATTAAGTTGGTGTATATTTTCTGAACAATTTGTGAGTGGCCTACAAGATGTTAGTTGGTTGCCTATGCAATTCCTATAGTGTTCTGGCTGTTTATTTGGGTGTTACAAGGTTGTTATGTGTCAAAAAATGAGTTAACACTCTGTTCAGATCACTAACTCCAAGTATGACTAAAAGTAATACTGGTGCTTACTTTAACAAACACCACTAATGAGAGATGTTTAAAAGGAAAATAATGACAGGAAATAGGAGTACAAGTAGTGTGTAGGCCAGGGGGCGTCTGAGGAGAAAGGGAGTGGTATCATCTCCAGAGTGTCATTGCAGCCGCTTTCACACGGCTTTTAGGTTGGTGTCTAGCTGCCTCGTGTCTCTTTATTCACTTCATTACCTCAGACTGAAATGGACAACCGAACACACGATCCAAACCCAATCATGGCTCAAACTCTCCACCCTCTCTCTTTTTCTCTTCCAACATCATTAGGTCCTAATACTGGGAGGGAGAGACAGAAAAGGGATGGTGGTTTGATTTCCTGTTCTACAGCATGGTGAACCTTTCACGAGAACGACCTGCCACCAATCATCACAGAACATGTTTGAGATGTCTGCACAGCTGGAACTAGAAGAAAGTGTTCAGTTGGAAGGGACAAGCGTTTTTTATTTTGGAGTTAAGGGATCATCAGTCCTCATTACTTTAGCGTTTCTGCCCTCAGTTGAGTCCATGTTCTTTTTGTCTCTTTCAATTTTTCCAACTGTTCAATCTGATATGTACTCAAAACCTGACCGGACTTTTCCCAGGGTTTAAGCAAAGTGAAATTCTTCGATTATTGTCAGTCAATATGAATTTTTGTTATTATTATTATTATTTTTATTATAATTATTATTTTAATAATCATTAGTTGCTTAAAAAAATAATAGAAATAATGACACTACTGTTCAAAAGTTTGAGTTATGCTCACCGAGGCTAAAATGTTAAAACAGAAATATTGTGAAATATTATTACAATTTAAAATATAAAAATGTTTTCTATTTTAATATATATATATATATAAAAAAAGGGGGGTTTATTCCTGTGACGGCAAAGCTGAATTTTGAGCAGCCATTACTCCAGTCTTCAGTGTCACATATGCTGATATGGTACTCAAGAAACATTTCTTATTATTATCAGTTGGAAAAAATTGTGCTGCTTAATATTTTTGTTTGCTGCATTTATTTCAAGATTCTTTGATGAATAGAAAGTTCAAAAGAACAGCATTTATTTGAAATGGAAATGTTTTGTGACATTGTAAAAGTCTTTACTGTAACTTCTGTAACGTCTTTGCTAAATAAAATAATTAAATTTATATCAAAAAACTAAATAAAAAAAATGAACTGACCCCAAGCATTTGAATGATAGTGTCCATTACATGAAGTTAATTTAAGAAATTAAATATAGTGACAGTAAACAATTGAATAGACGTGACAAAATGTGGCTTTAAATTTCAGTATATTGTGTTTTATTTATATATCATCAAACATCAATCTATCACTGGCCTAAGGCAATCCATTTTACAATCAAATGTGTCTGATATAGGTTTAAAAACTTAGCATTTGCATTTCAAGCTTGAAGATTTTTTTCTCAAGACTAAGGACACACATGGGCAACACAAATATTTCAAATCAGTAGTTTTCCAGAAACAGTTTGCTTTTATACAGCAATTCACCACATTGTTGCTGGACTGCAGAGACACTTGCTCAATCTAGACCAATTCAGAAGTGAATGATGATTGGGACGTTTAGATCAGCACAGTGTTTGGCAGACTCACTTTTAACCAGATCCTTCAGAGAGCTCTGTGTTTTCACATGTGCACACACACTGCATCTGGCATCTCAGGAATTGTTTGTCTTAGTGACTTTCGATATAACGGGGAAGCCATTTTAATTGCCATTTGATGAGAGAGATATTGGTGAAACGTTCCTCTGCACCCTCCACCTGTTTCCCTTCTGACGCTGCTGAGGGGAGGGGGTGGGGTGTCTGCAGCAGTTCTGGACAGGTGGTTGCATCTAGTTTGTCTCCTAATGTGTAGCATTACGTGCGGTTGATTTAACCTTCTGTACTCGCATATGTTTGTTTACAGAGCATTTTTAAACTCCGGATTCTGATTTGAGTGGATTGAGTAATTTCAATATGGTGCAAAATAATTTTTTATTGAGAGCAGATATGCACAACCTTTCACAGCTTATTTCATTAACATACAAAACTACCAATTCTTCCTTGCATTACTATAAGTTTGATCACCACATATAATTATTGCTGTTACATATACATGTCATTAACTAACTGCATGATTTTTACTGTCCTAGAACTCTACATTTCTGTCATACGGACATCACTTTGACATAGACCACTGATAAATTATTCCTAATTATGTAGAAACTTTCATCTTCTCTGAAGCTGCTTTGCAGCATTATATATCGTGAAAAGCGTTATACAAATAACTGTAAATTGAATTTAATTAAAAATACAGTAAAAAAGTATTTTGTAATATTAAATTAATTGTAATGAATTAAAAACAGCTAAATAAATTTTTAATATTATATACACATTTCATATATAAAATATATAAGAGTATGTATATATATATATATATATATGTATGTATGTGTGTGTGTGTGTGTGTGTGTGTGTGTGTGTGTGTGTGTGTGTGTGTGTGTATGATTTTATAATTTTGGAATTAAATTAAAATTATATTAAATTCTGTGTGAAAACCATGATAGTGTGAACAAAATTAGGAGGAACAACATTTATTTTCTATATGGGAAAATGGAAGTAAATCTTTTGCAACATTATAAATGACTTTACTGTCAGTGTTAATCAGTTTAATACATCCTTGCTGAATAAACGTGTTTTATAGTTTAAAAAACTAACTATATAATGATCCATCCCAAACTATTGTAGGGTTGTGTACATTTCAATTTACTCATTAAGCACATGCTTTTATTAAAAGTTACTTGGTTACAAATTAGGAATACAACAAGCAAATCTTAGTCTTTCTTTTGTAAATGTTGTGATTGGTTAAAATAGAGTGTAATCTGATTTATTAGTCATAAAATTGGGAAGGAATGGGATCAGAAATGTCTGGCTTGAAAGTTGCATCTGGTCATGTTAAAACTTAAGCACTAGTCCAACAAGAGAGCTTCTTTTGTACACCTTTAATTGCCTTAATGTGTAGTTATACTTGTAGCAACAAATCCAATCCCCATTTGTGTGTCAGTGCAGAGCAGACACGTTAGATTTCTGTTCTTTTTCTGTTTCTTCTTAACTGTATCTCATTGCTCTCCGTTCTTCAGCTTCTCATGCAGAAGTTGTATGTGGTAATGTGATGTGTTCTCTCATCACAGCTGTTTTAGTCAGAGGACCAGGATGTATGTATTGTCACTAATTAAAATGGGATTTTATAGCCCCCCTACAGAGGTGATGAACTCATATCTGCGTCTGACCCATATGAAACACGAGCCCTTGGCTGGATTACGGGGCTTTCTGGGGTGGAAGATGATAGACAGACGATGGACTCCTGAACGCTCTGAATGATGACCGTGGTCACTGAGGAATGCAGCATGGCCTTGCATGTAGGGACTTGGCCGTGACAAAAGTGGGTCACTGTTGGTTATCAGGTTTTACAGGATCAAACATGTAGTTTTACAATTGAATGTAGTTAAAAATGATGTATTAGTTCATAATATCTATATGTTTATTGGAAAACAATATCCACCACTGTGGGTTGCGTGACACCAGGGAATATTTAACTAAAGTGGAACCACCCTAAAAGTCTTCTATATCTTATTTTTCCACCATCATTTGTTCAGTCTTACTAACCAAACTGAATCTCTTCGCCAGCAGACCGTGCGTTTAGGAAATGAGTCTTGGTCATTAAGTGGATTAATCATCTTTAAAAGCCTTTTGTAGACCCTCTTAAGAGGCTATATAACATCCAATTGCATGGCTGTAAATCTGGCCCCCATCTTGGCTCACTGGCATCATTGCAACACTGCAGTTGCCCAGCTCGCAAACCAGTAACGTACAGAGCGTTGCTTTCCTCTGGAGCCCAGTGACATGAGGGATTAATCTCCCCATGGAATTGTGCATTCTTTTTTTTTTTTCCTACAAACATTATCTTTTGTTAATAGTCCAAGGTACCCTCTGGAACGAAGTTCTTTTGGTTATCCGGGTGTCATGTGCATGCAGAAATGTTCATACTGTGTGGTTTATATTATAATATTATGATTAGTGTGGTGGCATTCCGAACATAAACAGTCTTAATTTTAGGGCAAACCGAAAGAAAAAAAATCAGTAATATGTTTTTGTGCGCTATAAAACAAACAAGCCATTTATAGCTTTTCAATTTACCCAATCATAGTTCTGACAAATCAGATGAGCAATGTCTGGCAGTTCTGCTTTAATGATGAGGCACTAATGGAGGTTTCAACTAGCTTTTTCCCCAGCTGTCAGACCACTGTTGGTTTCTGTACAGGACATTATGTTTGCTTCATGTTCTTGTCTGAGCAGTGTCAGCCGTTTAAATGCCGTTTTCCAACATGGCAATGAGGTGCCTGCAACTCACATATGGATCATCCAAGGTTTTCTTGGAATTAGTGTCTAATTCCATCTGAAAGGAGCAGAATCATGCATCCTGCTTGTCTTCAGATGTACACAAACACTCAGAGATATTAACGTTTGTATACACATGAAAGAAAACCCTACAGAAATTTGCTGGCAGAGATGGCCTGCGACAACTTGGCCAAGTTCTGTGGTGTGAGGCCTCAAAACCAACTAAATTCACCTCTTTCAACTCCCTGGCTCTTTCTCCGTCTGCTTGTCTCTCTCTATGCCACTTCTGGTGTTTTTACGGAGTGTTCGTGGCATGAGGCTGCCCTCCTAAATGCTGTAACCTTACACTGGCACATTCTGCTTGTGGTTTGCTGCTCTCATTCCAACCTTCTCGCCAATATGGGCACACACCAGTGGCGTAACTTTGCGTTGAAATGTGGTGGGGACACCGCGCAACTCGTTTTGCTAGTTTTTTATTTAATAACCTAATTTACTTGGGGACTGGGTTTAGAGTTGGACAAACTTAATTTTTGCTTTTCAAAAATACATCGATGTACCTACCAGGGGCAGCGCCAGAGAATTTTGAACGCAGGTGCTGAGGGGGTGCTAGATCATTGACGGGGAGCTGGGCAATTCAGGGCTCCAGACTCATTCCTCCCACTGGTCGCTCTTTTGCGATTAACTTTCTCAGTTGGTTGCGTGTTTTTTTTTTTTTT